ACGATAGCACCGAAACGAGTGGGAAACAGAGACATACTAGTAGTACATACTACGATTCAGCTGGGGCTGCCGCTCTGAGCCTGATGGCACTGGATTCAAACCTTGTGGGACGACTCCGCGCCTCGAGTCAAGGGGCTCTTTAGCTTCTGACTTATCTAGTACTCGCGTCGCTCGCTAGTCCCAGCTCGCGAGCCTCATGCGGTGTTGAACAATGAAAAGTTGGTCAGACCGGGGATTGAACCCGGGTCATCCCATATGCGCTGGGAGGTGTTAACACTACACCATCCAACCGATACTAGAGTGTGAATTCTACAGATTCCAACATGCGGGCATGTTGCACCTGCCCCCAGGCTCTGCCAGTGCTGCAGGCGCTTGAGCTGACCTTGAATCCAGGTAAGCAGGCGCCGTGTAGGCGCGCGAGGAAATGAGCGAGCGACAAGAGTCGAGCACGCCCATCATCCTTCTTCAGGCCGCATTTGTAACTGTCGCAGCGAATGATCGCAACAGTGACCCGTACAGTTGTCTTAAACCGCGGCGTGCACCTTGAGGGTCTTCAAGGTGGTGACAATTTGCTACATATACGGTTTGCACTTCCGGCATCCGTAACAACATACGATGCTCAATCTTCCAGCTCGCACTCAAGATAGGTCGACACCGGTCTTGTCACAACGAATTAGCCTTCCGGACACAGAAACCGGGCAGGTCAGCCGTCTCAAACCAGACCAGCCTTGGACCTCCAAGACGCGCCGAAGAGCTAACCGTTCCCCCACCCAACTTGACTTGTACCTCTACCCGAGTCCTGCTGTGCAGTACTCACCGTCGATATCCTTGTCTTCACCCTCTGCTGCTACTTGCGACTATGTCTTCCTACACCCCGATCGCTCTCTACACCTTCAAGACCCCTGGAGGGCGACACTTCGGGCGTTCACAGCGGAGGAAGAACAAGGTCGTGGCTGAGTACAGGGCGTGGTCCGTCAAACAGGCTTTCGCTAACCTTCCTAGGTCTACCAACCCAATGGCTGCGTCGAGGACGACGAAGAAGGAGTCGACTGACTCGCCGGTCGTCGTCGTCGTCGTCGTCGATACGGCGAACTTACAGGCGTGCGACGCGATGGTCGTGGACGAGGAGGGGCGGAGTGTGGTAGAGGGGCACGGGGACGCCTGTGCTTCTCCCACCGAGCCGGTCCTCCTCGTCGAGGGGAGCCGCAGCGGGTGCGAGAGTGGGAGTCAGAGTGCCGAGACTCCTCTCGTCGCCGAGTCGGCTACCCTCTTGGATCGCTCCGGGGCGCAGGAGGTAAGGACGACGCGGACGACGGACAAGGTGAAGATCCAGAGGAACACAACATCGGAACGAAGAATTACGAGGAACATGGGCGAAGCCGAGCAAGACCTGGTGGACGAGCAGGAAGTGGAGCGCATGCTCCTTCTCGAGGACGCGGTCGACGACGAAGACGGGAACGAGACTCAAGCCCTTTTGACGCATGCGGAGAAGACGGACGAGAAGACGGAGTCGAATGTGCAAGTCGAGAAGAGCACGGACCTAGCGTTCTGCCTCTACGCACACGTAGGCGAACAACAAACGATGATTGCGAAGATGTGGGAGATGCAAAGCGAGATGGCGACCCTAGCAGTGCAGGCGGAGCGTCTGCGGCTGGTCTAAGCATCGACGGCGTGAGGTGCTTAGACCCGGCCTTCCTTTTCCTGTCTCTGGTCATGTTCAGGTTTGGGCGCTGGTGGCTACGGCAAACTACCTGGACTGGACGCGTTGGCTGTTGTGTATGGTTTCATGGTGGCTCGGTGGTTGTCTTGGTCGGCTTCGTAGGCAGATGGCTACTGCCTATGATGTCGTCTGGGCATCCTCGGTGACATCGCGCTGCAATTCATCGAATCACACCGATTTGTGGGCTAAAATATTCATGCGTGATGATCCCCTGAAATGAAGTGCGAAGCGCAGATTATACTGTTAACAAGACATGCAGACTCTTCTACGCGCGAAACTCATCCTCCGGCAGCGTCCACTTCCACAGGGTCTCTCTAGGATTAACGAGTTCGTTATCTGTCTCCTTGCAGTGGAGCTTCCCTTCGCCGAACAGAACGCTACGCAATACGGGTAAGTCATCCATGTGAACGTCGTTACGACGCGAGCCTTGCAGTTACTCACAGAACGTACTCCCAGATGTTCTCGGGGGGATCCTTCCGGATTTTCTCCTTGAGAGCGGCAAGGTCCTGGCTGACGATATCACCCTTGGGGAGGCCCTTCACGCGCGAGACGAGGTCGCGCAGGTCCTCGTAGCTGACGCTCTGGCCCGCAATGCGAATATCGGTCGGGACCCTCGCCGCCGTCGCAGGGTCAAGCGCGAGGACGG